TCTTCTATATCGCTGATATCAGACATTTTAATATTATAATTATCGAAGTTTAGCTATCTACGAAAATTTAATACGTTTTGACAACTAAAACAATTACATAGGAATTTAGGACAAACGTCAAACATCATGCTTGATTGAAAAATTGTAGGTTTCTATTGATTAAAAATCTGTATCATAATGAAAAATCTGTATCATAATGGGTATCATTATGAACCGGATTATGGGCATATAAGTGCATTATTATAATACGGGTGTAGAAAAACACTATTTTGCGATAAGATATATGGACGAACTTAGCGATGCTAAGACTGACAGAAAAATGTAATTAAAATGGCGACGTAGACAGAGTAGTACTTTGATTTGAAGTCAGTAATTTTATATTTGAAGATTGTCGGAATGAAAATATTTAACTAATGTTAAGAAAATATATAAAATGTATTGTTCAAAAAAATTCCTTTAACTCCAACACATATTTTTTAATTAGAATAAATGATTTTATCTGGGTAAATTAAAAGTCATTTTTTTTAAATGTTTTATTGTCCTTTAAATAAAACCATCTTATTACTATGGTGTCTTATGCTAATTTTCTTATTTACTTTATTTTTTGATAAAAATAGCACATTCTTACATTTAGGTACCGAATCGAATCCATGTTGTATAAGACTTGAAAATGTGTTTAAAGAAATATATTCTCTTAATACTAACTAAATCAAGATGTCAAGTGAAATATGTTTTTCAGAAACTAATTAATCTGATTTTTAAAAGCTTTTCACATATCATACAGATAGCGATAACATCTTCTGATGGGTAATGCAATTTGTTTTTATTTTTCATATCTATGAATGAATATATATTAATTTTTTTATCACTTATTAGTGCTTGAGAACATTGTCCATATTATATTTTTTTATTTATAGAATGAACAACGTAACCCGCGATGTAAGTAATTACATATTTCGAAAATGGTGTAATACAGGGATCTCGTACATAACCGTGATCTAATTCGATGGCTTCAATAATTTCAAAGGGATCATTTTCATAAACTTGTGCTTGATTGGAAAATGAATATCCAGTTAATGTTATATTAAGTTGTCGACTACATCGCACTTTAAAATACTAATCTCTTCTAAGGGTATACAGTTCCGACGAAAATTTTCACACAACTCTACATGGACGAGCAGCTTTTTATAGGCTGACACAAATTGTCTTACTGTGGGGTTATTATTATAACCCCCATGTAAACGGATCGAACAAAAAATTAATTCCAAGTTATCCTGGGAGATTTTATATTTTGGTAAGAAAGATAATAAATTGTTTTGCACAACTAAAGAATTAAATAAACATTTAGTACTGTGGATACAGACTTGTAATCCTAAAAATCTCGTATGCCTCCTACTGTCTAATGATAATTGCCCATTGCAATGTGTTTTTAAGCCGTCAATATATTTATCGGCCATATCCAAAAATATTAATATATTGTCAAAATTTTTTGTAGATAGAGGTTTTTTGTAACCAAATTGAAGAAGATTTCTCGAATTTTATGACTTTCTTTCTAGACTGTATCTAAATTATAGAATAAATTCTTAAAAATATGAGACCAGAAATATACATAATTTTTCTGGAAAATTCTTTTTGATGTCCAGCAAAGTATTATACCATCTTTAGTTCCTATTGTTTACTTTGCCTTAACGAAAATCTTTAATTAGAAGGTCTTAAACTTTAAAATTTAAACAAATTAACAATACACTTTTTAACAACTCATTAAAAATGGAGACTTAGCAAGATAGGATTCTTCAATAGTTCATTATTGAAATAACGATGAAAACCGATATTGAAGGACTTTTTTAATTGACGATACGTACTTTAGATGGCTAAATGCCGAAAGTGTCTTGCTATTTCAATAAAAAAATTGCACAAAATATTAGTTTTCTTTGCTGATCTAAACTGCGTGCATATATGAGTTAATCTCTTTTGGTTCCGTTTAATTGTTTCATGTGACCGACCACATCTAATAAGCGAACTTGGATTCAGCAAAGACGGAATCGCATAATTTTTTAGACGAACAAAATATACAGAATTTCTATAGAAACAGTTTTCTTCAAAATGTCTAGAGCATAGTACACTATATTTTGAAGGTTTCCAGTCAACTCTATTTACAAATCCAATCCATGAATCCCGCGTTACAGAGTTCTTTGGAAATCTATAATTCAAGTATTTGTATATTTAGCGTTGTGAAAATTTAAAACTTATTCCTTAACTGTACCTACAGGAATAGCATAAAATATGATCTTTATAGCCCAAATGATTTATATGGGCATCACTACTGATGTATAATTTTCATTACATTTTTATCAGAATCTAAACTAGCAAGATTGATATACTTATATTATTAGAAAAGTATATTATGATTAATTAACACACAAACATTGAAACAAAAATTAAGAATACGGTCCTTATAATTGTTGAGAATATGCTTTAGACTTACTAATGAAATGTAATTCCTGAAGTTTTTTTCTTATTAACGCTGTCACTGCTGCAACAGCTTCTTATAGCACATGATACCATTATTTAAAATTAAAATAAACAACCTTTTATAAGATTTAAGTGTAACTATTTAAATAAAATGGCGTTTATTCTCACCAAAACAGTAATCAAACTGACTAGGTCACGTTAGTTTGACACATGACGTAAAAATGTAATGCTTATTGAAAAGTGCGGACACTTTTAGTAACGTCATAGCGTCTCCCCTTTATTCTATCTCGATGACTGCAATAATTTAGCTTTGACAAGTTATAATAATCTATCAACCGTTTGCTTTCAAGACATTTAAAACTAAAATTATCGATAGGTATTAGGCACAGATCTAGGTCGAAAAACATAGAAGCGGCAACAGTGGATAATGGCACATTCGGCAATAAATGGCATGCTTAACGGCCCACTTGATTGTTCGCCACTGTTTTGCGGTGAGTACGTAGATGGCGAGATTAGCTCTTCGGTAAACATGTCATTCGGTATTCTCTGTCGAGGGTTATTATTTACGGATATGTCCCGCTTTTATGTTTTATATGACAAGCGAACGGAGAGTTTTCCTGCAAAATGAGATTAGGGTTTCTTTACTGCTCTGACAGCAGATTTGAGACTGACAACTAAAAAGCGGTATTAGATTCGCGTAAATAATTTTAAAATATTGCTGTTTTAGTTATTGGATTTTTTTATTGTTATGGAAATTACCTTGCATTTTCCATATGAAGACCTCAGGGAAAAAAGACGGAATGTCACAAAATATCAATTGAAGAGTCGAGTGGATAAAGGAGGTACAGTTCATCAAATTTCTAGAGGCTTTCGACGGCTAGACAGAGAAAGCACTACTGACAGGCATCCCGACGGATTTACGCAATGAAAGTACACTCTGCGCATCAAGTATTTCACTATTTCATTCAGATGTAAATGTCAGATGTAAATTTCGCTAAAACATTTCTTTTATTTTCGTTTGTGTTTTTTGCTCATTACAGTTTAATAGAACCAAAGTATGGAGTTTAATAGCAAATTAAGAGGCCGCGTGATTAACAGTCAATCTCGCGAAATAATAGCCAATGTTATAGAGTTTATGAGAAGAGAAGGAAACTTTAATTCACCTTCAATACCATTTAAAAATGTAAATGATCGTGTTGCTGCAGCCACAGGAGTATCTAAAAACACTGCCGTCCGCATTTCTGGAGAGAAAAAAAGAATCGATAACCGTGAGATATCGGAATTTTCATCACCAAGAAAAACCATTAAAAAACCAAAAACAGTTAATGATATAGATGAAGCTGCACAAGAATCAAATTTTATTTTTTTATTATTAGATAGCTATTTTTGTTTCTGAGTTGTGTTCATTCACAGGCTCAATTTTTTTTCGTTTCTCCTTTTTGATTTTATATGGGGTTTCAAGTTGTTTTTGATTTATTTCGACGTAAATCACAACAACACACTTTTTTAATAAAGCAAGCAAGTGTTAAGAGGTATATGTACGTGTAAACTACAATTACAAAAAATTGATATGAAACCCATGAAACCACCAACAAAAATGTAAAGCTAGCTTCCGTACTAGAACATGGTGTCATTCGTCGAGATAATTTATCGTTTTGTTTAATAGATCAAGAAATGTAAATATTCCCCTGTTATTTTTTATAAAATTATAAGAGAAATAAATTTTTTTCTAAATAGTATAGTTTATTATTTTGTAGAAAAACAAAATTTCGAAAATTTTAGTAATGTTTCAGAAACAACCGTTATTAATAATAGGTACCATTTTCCTTAATAAGGTAGAAATAAAATATAAACTATTTCCACGATTTACAAAGGCCTACAAAAAAATTATAGGTATTTTCCGCTATCCTATAAAATTTATATTTTCTGACTCAATTTCAAAAGGTTGAAGGAATTCCAAAACACCTTTTATGGCATAATAATTATTTTCAATTCTACATACTATCTTTAGCTGCTTTTAAAAACGTTCTAAGAAAGTCCAATCAGACCAATTTAATCCCTAAACTATTCCACACTTTTTAAATTTAATTACCTAAAAATATTAAAAACTATTTAAAATAACTTGTTTAGCAGACTGTACAATAGCTATCTTAGTCACACGTTGCGCGTTCTCTGTCTGGGCGTCGAACACTTCTAGAAATTTGATGAACTGTATGTAACAAAATTTAGAAACCGAGAAAAATCAGTTTAAAGTTTTTGAAAACTATTTTAATGTACTATATTTACTTTTAGTCCGGTTTTGTGCAAACTTCGCAAAATGTTAGACTAAAACGATACATTTTCTTAAGAAATAATATGAAATTGATCACTTTTACAAAAACCTCAAATTTTTATCCATTTAAAAAAGTTTTACAGAAAACGATTTTATTTTTCTGAAGAAAGGAGTATAAGAAAAGACAAGAGTGTCAGTATAAAAGTTTATTACAGAATTTAAAAAAAAAAACATCTCTGACATATTTGGGAAAGCACTATGCCTTTTCTTGTTCGTTTATAACGAGGTTATAAAACCATCTGTATGGTTGTTTAATATACTGCAACTGGCTTTTCAAATTCGCAATTTTTTTAGCAGACAACTCTCCAGTTTTTCTCCCAATTCTTGGAATTTCAACGTTTTCTGGTGCAGGAATACGTGAGTTTCGAATAATGTTGACTTTTTTAAAAGGAGTCTTGGGGTCAAAACTTTCTTTATACATGTAAGATCCAAATTCGCAGACGCGTATCCATTTTATCTTATCTCTGAAGGGAACGTTCTCGCCTAGTGTATTCTTTTTACGATTGATTACGTTTAATTTAGTAGCCAGATCATCGAAGTTTCTAAAGTGAAGACTCATATCCGTCAATTGATTCATTTTGCTGGCTTGGCTTATTATGGTTCGATATTCTTCTGGTAAAAAAATAGTTTCATGTCGACGTAACACTTTCTCAATAAGTCCAAAGTCTCTGTCAGAGTCCAAATAACTGTTCCCCACCTCAGGAAACTTGTGGTCTATAATTTTACACATGCCTTTAAGTATTAAGTACTGGTAGAGGCATATGATCAGAAAGTTTTTATTCTGACCTGCACATGAGTCCGTCCACAGTATGAGATGCGATATAATATTGTCTTGAAAAAGGTTGTTATACTCCAACATAATTAATAAGGAGCTGCATATCTCGGAGATTCCACGATGAGCTACATCCTCGGTCCACGTAAAGAAATTCGCTTTTGCGCCTTGTTTACTAATGGAATGTATACCCAAGTTGTACATCCACATTTGACGTAAATAGAAAGCTTTGCTAGTGGTTAGTTTAGGCAGATGAAGTGTTTGTTGTAAATCCATGGTGAGATAGCATACAGTACCACTGCTTTTTGCACATTCACGATCTTCACGATGTTCTTCGTTACCTTGGCCGCTATCGTAGGTACTACAAGTATCGCTGCGAGGCTCCCCAAAAGAGAAGTTAAATTCTGTAGAGAAGATCTTGCTGTACGTACAGTATTTTATATAAAAACGAGGAGGCTTATTTCCTTCAGCACATTTTTCGTGGTAGAGACTGTACATCTTAGATATATTTAACATAGGAGAAAGGTATTTCTTGTAGGAGTTTTTGTTCCTAGAATAATGAGACTCATAGGCAGGGAATGATTTTATATGTTCTCTTGTGTATTGTTTAATACCATCTGCTATCCTATGTGGTCTGTTGTCATGTTTGCCTCTTCTATTAGGTTTTGGAGTATGTAAACCCTCTTTTATGCTCTGTTGAAGATATTCTACCTTCTTTTTGCCAATTTCATACAAAGTACAGAATGCTTTTTTACATACTGTTACTTCTGTTTTATTAACGGCTAATTTATACGTAAAAGACGCAGACTTATGACGAGCAGCATTCTTTTGAGGCCTTGCAGGTACTTTGTATGCCATACATTTAAAGGGCAACATGTTTTTAGTGTCTTCATCTAATAATTTGTAATAACTGAAAAATATTTCTCTCCTTTCCTCTGGGCGTACCTTTTCGCTGCACTTTTTTTTGCATCCTTCATTACAAAGCGTACCTAAATTAACACTTTTTCTTGGTATTTTTTTTCCTCTTTGATTAGTGTATGTTTCACCTCTTTGCCGCGCTATTGCTGCAACATTATTTTTCCAAGTGTTGGTTTTCTTGACCTTTTTCTCGCAGTTTTTTCCTTGATTTGGAATAATTTTTTTTTCTTGATTTGTTTTTCATTCATTGTGTCTGTTTCATCATCCCTATTTAATTTTTTAATTCTAGGTAATATGGCCACATCTGTTGTACCCTTTAATTTTTGCGATCTTTTAAATTTTTTGGGTATTTGGTATTCACCTGTGTCTGACGAATCCTCAGAAGTAGGTAGATATTCGTCGCTTTTATCATCCGGTTTAAAAGGCTCACTGTCGGATTTACTTTTAGAATCTGTAATAAGAGATGTATCGTTTAATTGCCTACACTTCCTTAATACACATTGTAATTTACCATTATTGAGGAGATTTCTAGTAAAAACACAATGTTTGTCCTTGGGATCCTTGGAATAAGAGCTTGATGGGCCAGCTGAAAAAAAAGGTATGTTTGGAGTTTATTACCATAATAATGCATTTAAGAACGTAGTACTACCATAGTGCTACACTAATTAAATTTTTTACTAAAAAAAATATAACCGAGTTCAAAACTGGACACTAAAAAGTAAATAAGTTAATAATAATATTTCTTTACACATACCGTCTCATTTCGAAGCATCATACTGATATTCTGATCTTAATATTTCCTGGTGCGAATTTACAATATCTAAGGTGGCATGATCTTCAGCAGTTTCCACACCAACATTTAAACGAGAATGTGTAAATCCATCTACAAAATTATTACAAATAGAACCGGACTATATTACTATTTAAAACATACCGTTTAATTCTGGAAAATGGATTTCATGTTCCAAGGGCTTTTCCCCGATTCCAGATATATTCGAAGAGACTTCACATTTTTTGAGGTTAACTTCTTTATTTTCACTCCCATCGTGCTCATTAGCAACCTCACAGATTTTCTTTGCATTCTGCATAATTAATCGAGTTTTCAGAGACATGATTCAACTTTCAATTAAAAAGATATGTTTGATATTTTTCGTGAAAAACGTTTATGAACACACTCATTCAGCGCCAGTGACAATAAATTTCGCACTACATTGAGTGGATAAAGGAGACAATTGGAGTGCGTTTAGAAACCCCGCACGGCGCGTCTGACCACATGCATTAGAATAGGGTCCAGACGCGCCGTGCGGGGTTTCTAAACGCACTCTTGTAGAGAAGTGTCAACAAAAAGACGACATCTGTTGGATAAAGGAAGTATCTGCACGTTTTAGCGAATGAAGGGGGCAAGTGCGGTTAGTTACCTCCTTTATTCATTCCTAAGTTTAACATTTTTGTCAGATACCTCCTTTAAGAACTTGGATTTCTCTTTATTTTAAATATTTTCATACTGAAGTCGCTGCTAAGTGAAAGAGTGTCACCCCCTTTATTCATGAAGATAAGTCGATTTTGACCAAAATGTTACTTACCTCCTTTATCCACTCGACTCTTCAATTACGAGAAATATCGATTCTAAAGTTTGGAACTTCTAAGATTCTTTAACTTGAAAATAAAAAAGTTAAAATATGTCAAATTTTGTTTATTTAACTATCTGTATTACATATTTAAAAAAATTGCATTTCAAAGTACATTTTTATAAAAACAATACACAAAAAACTAAAAAATCAGCAATTCTCCATCGCAAAAATGAGAAATGTATAAAAAAACTCAATTTTCAAAGTTGAAAGGGGGAATGTCCAAATTTACGAGGTCAGCTGTCATAGTTGTGGTATTTGTTTTGTTCCATATTGGTTTTAGACCTAAAAGTAGTATTCTATGAGTAATAGTACTCAATTATCAAAAAAAAGACCTAACCTTTGCAATTTTATTGTTGTCTTTTCTTTTCAGTTCTCTTAGCGGCATGAGGTACCATATCATAATAGTTCTGGGCGTCCTGTGAGCAGTACACTTTCAGAGTTTACAGATCTTTAAATTTTTCCTCGCCTTATTGGGATTAGACCTGAAAATCGTATTTAGTTAGTAAAAGTTCTAAATTCTCAAAAAAATTAATCTGACCTTCATACTTTCGGTCAGGATATAAAAATTCACCATTTCTTATTACAGAATCAATTCTGGTCTGTTTTGATGGTAGAACTGAGCTCTGTTCCCAATACCCATTATAGGAACATCTATGTGAAACAATTCAGGAGTGCCTAATAGTGACTTCCGTTTCCCTCATTGCCAAGAGACATTTGGTCCTAAAATTCAGCTTCATAAAAAAAACGTCCCAGTTTCTTATTATTTTCTGACCGTCTTCCAGGTTTTCGACATGAAACGGCGCTGGCTTAACTCTACACCTTTCTATTTCTTTGATCCAGTGTTTTGGCAGTTTAGCAGGATATTTTTGGTTCAGAAAGGCTATATTTCGGTCGCACTCTAAATAAGTGTGCCTCCTAATTAGGAAAGTTATTTTGAAAGATTCAATCTCTTTTTTTGATCTATTCAATATAATGCATGATTAAATATACAGGGTGAGGCACCGAAAACGAAACAGATCGCATATCTTGAAGACACATTTTTTTTTTTTGAGAAAATGCAAAAAGACACTGATTTTTATTTCAAAGGGGACATCTTTCGATCATATTCTCAACTATCCTACATCCTTCCCCACCCCTATGTCACCATTACCAATGAAATTGAAAGAGGGAAAGTACTAAGTGTGACACATCATTGAAAAGGTCATTTTATAGAAAATTTGACTGTGTGACAGTTTATTACGTAACTTTTGATTTTGGCGCCATCTTGCGGGAAAAATTTCCGTATTTTAAATAATGATACTTCGTTTGAAAGTAAAACTTATTTAATAGACAATTCATAATAAAAATAAAAAAAATAATAGAAAAGAGAACATAAAAATTAAATTGAAAAATTTAGGACAACTCCCATAATTAAAAACTAAATGCTCAAAGTGTTGTCCATTAACTTCCATACACGAATATAAATTATTCTCAAATCTTTGTCTGACGTTTTGGAGCATTTCTGGGCTACATGGACTACATTCGGTAATAATACGTTCACGTAACTCTTCTAAGGAATCTGGCTGAGTGGCGTATATTTTACTTATCAGATATCCCCATAAAAAGTAATCTAAGGGGGACAGATCAGGAGATCGTGAGGGCAATTCAATAAATCCTCTTCGTCCAATCCAATGTCTAGGAAAGTTTTCATTTAAGTACTGACGAACCGCTGCAGCAAAATGTGGAGGAGCCCCGTCCTGTTGAAATATTAGGTGATCTTGAACGTATCGGTTATCGTTTACTATTATGTCTGTTAACAGTGGATCAACGGTGTTTTCGAGTAATTCCAAATACATATCCCCAGTTAAAGTACCTGGTAAAAATAATGGACCAACAAATCGGTCGCCAAATATTCCAGCCCAAACGTTTAACTTTTCTGGGTGTTGAGTATGCGTTTCATGAAATACTCTTGGATTGTAATCTGATCAGTATCGACAATTATGTCTATTGACAGTCCCGTTAACATAAAAACTCTATTCATTTGAAAAACAAATGTTATAAAGAAAATGTGGATCTTGTATAGCATGCTCGCTCATGATTTCACAAAATTGCAAGCGGCGATTAAAATCGTCTTCGTTAAGTTCCTGAACTAAATGAATTTTATAGGGATGGAATTTGTTGGCTTTTAAAATTTTCCTGACGGTACGGTCACTTACTCCAGATAATTCTGCAAGCTTTCTTGTACTAAGAGTTGGATCTGCAACAACTAGTCCTAAAACGGCTACCTCTACGGCTACCTCTATGGCTTTGTTTCTTACTTGATTTTGAATCTGCCGTTTTTTATTTTGAACAGATCCTGTTTGTAAAAATTTTTAAATAAGTTTCAAAATGTACTTACGTTTAACCTGTTTGTTTGGGTGTCACTCATTGAAAATTGTACAGGCAATGTTAGCACATTCGTTATTTTTTAAATAACATTCAACAATTTCTACTCTCTCCTGAATAGAATAAACCATTTTTATGTTTTACTCGCTAATAGACGAAGTATCAATGACGCTAAACTAAAAAACAGACCTGGTAGTTATGGAAATAAAAAATTTTATTTTTATTTTTATTTTACGAAAACATAGGCGTAGTAAGTTCAATTTTATTCCAAAGGTAATTATGCATTAAATTTTTAAATTACGCTTATTTGAACTGTCACATGTCACACAGTCAAATTCCTTATAAAATTACCTTTTTAATGATGTGTCACACTTAGTACTTTCCCAATTTCAATTTCATTGCTAATAGTGACAGAGGGGTGGGGAGGGATGTAGGATAGTTGAGGATATGATCGAAGGATGTCTTCTTTGAAATAAAAATCGATCTCTTTTTGCATTAATAGAACTTCGTTACTTCCCTTAGCAGATACTGTTTCTGGATATACGTAAAAGACTGACTCGCCATTTGCTAAAATGTGTATGTTAAATAAGTTCACAAATAATTTCTATTGGAACTGGTAGATTCTTTTGGAAATCGAGACAGATAGCTTCGCATTCTTTATCTTTCTGGCACTTTATTCTTGAAACTATTTTTCGGTCGTAAAATACTTGGGCCTTCATTTTTTGGACATTATTTTCATTCTCCAATGTTAGCAACGATTTCTGTGTATCGGCAAGAAGTGATGTAGAAGTTGGCATTTTATTTTCCAGTTTTAATGTTAGATCTTTTTTTGTTTCAGTATATTGATCACAAACACCACAGGTATCTTTACGAGGATACCAGAAGGATATGTTGAATTTCTATAGAACTCGTATGAAACAGGATGATTAGGAAATGTATCTTGATATAGTTTATATGTTTTTGCAATATCAAGCCCTTCACTTAAATAAAGAGGATCTGATTTTTTGAGGTTATAATGGCTTTTGTTTTCCTGAAATGATCCAATATGACTAATCACATGTTCATTTGTCTGATTAAAAATTCTTCTAGGTCGATTTAAATGCTTACCTCTTAAATGGATAGTAGCCTTACCCAGTATTCTTAGGGATTTTTACAAATATTCTAATTTTGTTTTTTTAATTCCATGTATTGACAAAAATTAATTGTAGTAAACATCGACTTCTAAAATTGCATTATCTTTTACCACTTTAACGATATATGAATAATAATTATCACGTATTAGAGCTACTTTTTCATCTTTTCGAGGACGTCTTCTATTCATAGATTTACATGTTATCAAGCCACATAAATATAAATGTTGCTCATTATTTGATTCAAGTAGATTAAAGTTCGTCAAAAGTGTGTGCTTCTCTCCATTACTGATTTTCTCGAAACATCTCAGTCTTTTGCACTTACAATCATTCCCTAATTCATGAGTGCTTAACTTTATTTTTTACTAACATCCTTAATCCGTCCATGTATCATTCTTTTCTTAAACTTTTCACTGTTCTGCTGCTGCTCACTATTTTTATTGTCTTCCATGATGCACTTCTTGTATATTTTATAAATTAAAACATAACCTTAACACCGTAGCCCACAAACATATGCACAAAAAATATCCACTTATTTACTCTGACAAAGCAAAATATAACTTTAATTAGAACCGATAATCTACATCGAAGCTATATGTCGATACTCATTGCTCTTGTGATTTTGCCAATGGACATTTCCTATTTTTCCCTTGTATTTCATATTTGTGACGCGGCTACTAACGGACTGTGCCGGGTTCTTCTACGGGAGATATATTTATGATAAACTATAGATATTTCTCTACTATATGGCGATGCTAACTCAATTTTTGATATTTTGTGACATTCCCTGTTTTTCTCATGTGGTCTTCATATAGAGAAATTTTTTAAAATTATACACTACTCAATATTCTCAACTGCATCCTATGTCTAGTTAGTTATGTGATATTAAATCACAACCATTTCCACGTATGTTCTGTTCAATAAACTAGGTGACGACATGGACAGATGTCAGCGTCAGCTATCCGAAGTTATAGATCCTGTAACAATGTTTATTTCTAAGAGAACTGTATTGGTTTCAGTTAATAAAACAGATAACTTTATATTCATAATTTTTAAATTTAAAACAATTAGGATTTTAATAAGAAAGTTTTAAAATTGAAAAGTGT